TTCCTACCCATTCCCCTCCTTCCCCAGATCCTGCGCAGAGTGTGGAAGGACCGAGTGATGGTTATCCTTGTAGCTACCTTCTGGCCTTGCCAGTATTGGTACACCAACCTTCTCCACCTCTCCGCTCACCCCCCGATTCCTCTTCTGGCCCTCCCGGACCTCCTAACGCAGGCGTGTGGCTGGCTGCAGAACCCTAACCCGAGCCCTCTCCATCTCATGGCCTGGTATTTGGATGGGGCTCGTGTGTAGACCAGGCTTGTTCCACCCCTATCCAAGACATGATCACTCATAGCAGACTCCAATCCACTGTTATCAAGCTAAGTGGCGCCGCTTTACTATGGTGGCGCACCACCATCACATCTCTCCAAACTCCATCTCCATTCCTGTCCTTCTAGACTACCCCCGTCATCTCTGCCAATCGGGCCTTGCCCACTCCTCCATCTGCATCCACCTGGCGCTCAGTGCCTTTCTTCCTCCTGTGGATGGTTTCTCCATCTTCACCCATCCAAAGACCTCCTGCTTCCTCCACAGCCTTCTCAGTGCCTTTCTCTCTGTACGGAGGCTTACCCCCTCTTGGGATCTGAATCTGGTCCTCTCTGCACTCACCAAGCTATCCTTCAGCCCCCTTGCCACCTGCTCCTTTGCCCATCTTTCCATGAAGGGTGATCTTTTTGGTGGGCATCACCTCCACACGGTGTGTAAGTGAACTGGCAGCCATGATGGCAGATCCACCATTTACCATCTTGGAGACTGTGTCTTTGTGCTTACGTCTTCACCCCAAGTTCCTGCCCAAAGTGGCTTCCTCCTTCCACCTCAACCAAAGTATACACCTTCCAGTCTTCTACCCTAAGCTGCACGCCTCCCCCAGTTGTGCAGAAGAAACAGTATGAAAGAGATTTCAGGCTGTTCTAGGCTTGATTCTGACCTTCAATGCCTTCCATTCATCAGTCTGTCTAATGAAATCTTAGGTTTTTGTGCATTAAATATACAAAATTAAAAGCCACTGAATAACATACAACAGACCATGAAACTGGCCCACCACAGGAGCATTAATAATCCCAATCCCAACTACCTTGAATCTAACCTGGTGGGATGATTCGCATGATTGGAGTGTTTAAAGTCTCTGATTATAATCTGTTGAGGAAGGGTAGAGTTGGTTAAAGAGGTGGGGAGGAGGCAATCCACATTAAAGACACCCTTACTTGTTTTAGTTATGATAAATCAGAAGCACAGGGTTTTAAATGCACCTGGATACATGTGCTAACTAATAAAGCCCAAGAGGCTTCGCTGATGGGGGTCTGATACAGACCACCAAATCAAACTAGAGAACAGGAGTCACTCCTTAAACACTTGTCTGTAATGTGGGAGGTGGGGGAGGGGATCTGTGTTGTGCTGGGGATCTTCAGTTTGGGAAACATATTCTGGAAGATTTATGCAGCCAGTAGTAAAACACCATCAGTTTCTAAAAGTTACAGATAATTACCTAACACAAAAGGTATTGCAACCAACATGAGGGTAAGTCTATTTTAGCACCTTATTGTGACTGATAAAGGCTGAACTGGAAGTTGGTGGTTGCCTACAGACAAGTGATCATGATTTGATTATATTCAGTGGGGACAGAGAACTGTCCCAACTAGTAATATGTAGTTGTAGTGCTTCAAAAAGGCTAATTTCCCAAAACTAAGGAAAATTATGAGCAAAATTCAGTGGGAGAAAAAAATTAGATAGAAAAATATGAATGAAAATTGGGAGTTCTTTAAGAATAATTTATTAGATGTTCTAATAGCCACAATTCCACAGTCAAGAAGGATGCTAAAGAAAATGGCTAAAAACTCATCTTGGTTCAGTGGCAAAGTGAGGGCATCAATTAGATATTAAAAAAGCAATATATAACAATTGGGAAAAGGGGAAAATAGGTAGCAATTGATATGAATCAAAAGTTATGAAGTGTAGAAAACTGATAAAGAGAAGCTAAGGACATCAGGAAAAATCCGTGGCTGGCCTGGTTAAGAATAATGAGTTGAAGTATATTAGAAAAAAAAGAAATCCAAGCAATGGTATAGGTTAATTTCTAGATCGAGATGGTAAAATTGTTAATGATACAGAAAGGGCAGAAGTGTTCAATAAATACTTCTGTATTTGGGAAGTACCAGGATGATGTATCATATGGGTATGAAGAAGTATCTTCTAGTAGTCCATTAGCAACTTAGGAGCATGTCAGACATCTACTAGGGATAAAAATTTTTAAATCAACAGGCCATGATAACTTGCCCCAAAGAGTCCTAAAATAATTGTCTTAGGAGATCTCTGACATACTGATGTTAATTTTTTATATCCCTTGAATACCAGGGAAATTCCAGAAAATGGGAAGTATACAAATGTTGTGCTAATATTTTAAAAAGGATAAACAGGATGATCCTGTAACTACAGGCCTGTTAGCCTGACATCAGTCCTGGGCAAAATCATGGAAAAGCTGACACTGAATTCAATTAATAAAGAATTAAAGGATAGGAATATAATTCATTCCAATTAGCATGATTTTATGAAAAATAGGTCTTGTCAAACAAACCTGCTTTCATTCTTTGACGAGATTATTCATTTGGCTGATAAAGGTAGATGTAATATAATTAGATTTTTGTAAGGCAGTTGACTTAGGACTACAAAATATTCTAATTTTAAAAATTAGCACTATGCAAAACAATAGAGCATAGGTTAAATGGATTAAGAACTAGTTAACTGACAGATCTCAAATAAGCAGTTGTCAATGGGGAATCATCATGGAACTATGGTGTTTCTTGTGGGGTTTGGCAAGGATTGGTTCTAGCCCCAACACTATTAAACATTTTCATCAACTATCTGAAAGTAAATTTAAAGTCACTGCTACTAAAATTTGCACATGATACAAAGGTTAATAGAATCGTAGTTAATAATGAAGACAGGGCAGTCATACAACGCAATCTGGATTGCTTGGTAACCTGTGCCCCGTCAAACAAAATGTGTTTTTAATACAGCTAAATGAAAAGTTTTATACATCAAGGAAGAAGAAATGCATGCCATATTTACAACATGGGGACTATATCCTGGAGAATAATGACTATGAAAATTAATTTAGGCGTCGTTGTGGATAGTCAGTTCAAGGAAAGTTCTCAGTGTGATGCTGTGGAATAAAGGGAATATGGAATATGCTAATGCAATCCACTGATGTATAAATGGGGAGTAGTGAGTCGGAGTAGGGAGGTGATATTACCTCTGCATATAGCAGTGCTGAGAATGAGACTGGAATACTTCGTACAGTTCTGGTGTCCACATATTAAAAAGGATGTTGAAAAATGGGAGGGAGTGCAAAAGAGCCACCAAAATTATACAGTGTGTCATCAGGAGGTCAGACTGAATGATCCCCTCTGGATTTTCATCTCTAGAATCTATCAACCCACCCCCTTCCCAAATGGCCAAAAGGTAAAACAGATGGGCTTAGTAGGGTGGCTGGAAGAATAACAATTTTAAGCTTTGTTGGGCCAAAAGGTGGTGAGTGGAACCCTTTGTAGAAAATGGCCTGTAAGCAGTTGCCTGCCTTTTAAGCCAGGGGCTATCTAGCTCAAGCACTGTTATTCATTATAGCAGTGGAGCTATTGCACAGGAAGGAAGGCAGACTCACAGACAATAAGATCCTAAACCACTCAGAGCTTTATAGGTAAATCCCAACACCTTAAGCTCCACCCCATAAATTTACTGGCAGCTGGTACGTATTACAGAGCACTGGTTTAAGAGGCTCTCACTCTGTTTAACACATCATTTGACAAGTGGGCATTTAAGAGCTGCAGTCTGGCCTAATTGCAGTTTCTGGATAGTCTTCAAATTGTGTCCGTATGTAGCGCATATTCAAACGAATCCAGTTTCAAGGTGAGAAAGGTGTGGATAAGTGTAATGAGGGCTGCACCTGAAAGGAGAGGTCTCTCTCTTCTTGCCAGGAACAGATGGAGAAAGGCACTGTTAGCCACAGCTGCAACCTGAGCATCCAGAATCAGTTCAGAATCAAATGAAGGACCTAAAATGCAAACCTGTTACATAAGGCTCAGTCTGGCATGCAGCTTGTGATGCTAACGAGAAATTAAAAACTCTAACATTTTTAATGCATTGTGGGGGAAACTTTCCCATATGGCAGTTTTTTCACACTGAATTTTTGGCATTGGACTCTGGTTGTATATTAGCTGAAAAGTGCTGTGTGATTTAAGTAATACAAATAAATACCCTTTACTTTCTGAATCAGTCCCACCAGTAATTTATAATTTCACTGTTACTCAGAATGTTTGGCTTCCAAAGATGATATCAAGAGGGGAAATATTAATTCTATAATTAGGTATTATTGATATTGAATTATAAAATATTTCCTCCCAAAATAAAATTTTATATGGTTTTAACATCTTCCTTTAAGATTTCCACTGAGTGTTATCTTACCTGTGTTTTGTATTCTAGAGGATAAATGTTTCAGGTCAGAGATTTTTACTTGTCTTATATGCTGTTGCTTAAAATAAAATAAAATCTAGATATTATCTGAATGGTTCTCTTTGAAGTTCACTATTATATCATTAAAATTTTTGTGGTATAATGAATGTTTTTATTTTAATTTCCATCATGAAAACAAATGACTTCTAACTGGCTTGCATGATGCTTTTTATAGACCGTGGACCTTTTAAGGAACGTTGGTGTTTTTCAGTGTAACGTTTGCTTAATATGTAGAGGTCCAATCCTGCCTCCCTTATGCACATGAGTAGCCCCCACTGACTTCATTGGGACTGCTCACCTGGGTGTGGAGTTGTAGGATTGGGCTAAAATATTATAGCTACTGGATCAATAGGTGATCTTCAAATTAAAAGTTCATAATAGTTAATGGACACAATTGTTTCCTATACATATAACAAAAGGAAGTATTAAAATAGCACATGCAGATTTGTAGTGGGCTCTAGAAGGAAATTAATGTTTCCCAATGAACTCTGTTCTAGTGAAGGAAGCCCTTCTCCGAGAAAGGAGCTGCTTCATAACATAGATCCTATGTTTGTGGACACTTCTCCATGTGAGTATGCGATTCGTTGCTAGTCATATTATATAGACACATAGTTTGATATCTGTCCAATGCGTGCTTTTTTTCCCTTAAGAAAAGTTTACCCTTTTGTAGGTGAAGAAAGGAGATACTTAGGATGCCTTCCACTTGCAAATAAGTCACTGCCTTAAAATGGAGTTGTAATAATCGCAACTTTAGTGTACTGTTAACTGCACCCTAAATCATTGCCGGACTGTGCTCTTCATTTCCCAGTGTTCTGAAGCACTTCTATGCAAAGACTAATATACTGCAGGCTGTGGTGTTGTTGAGAGAAAACCATGTGCCTCAGGTGCACAGTAGGACCAAAGTGCCTCCTGCACTCAAGATTAGGAGTTGTCTCCTAACATCCGCAGGTCCTGTGTTCTTCTATCTATAAGAAGATTGTATTATTGACCTTGCAAGGGGAAAACTTTAGTTTGTATAGGCTGACGTTCCAAGCCTTGTGGCTGCTTTTGTGCCATATTAACATGAGTTGGAGCCATTGTTAGCAAGTCATGCTGCTCTCTAAATGCTTTCTCTTTTATAATTCAGCATTTGGTAAGGACAAGGAGCTCTTTAAAATGGGGATTGCTCATGGAGATTTTCATTGGAAAATGACTCTTCCAGAGATTTTGAAGTTTTTGTGTTAAATTAAGATATATAGTAATACATTTAAGAACTAAACACTGACTGAAGAAAGCCAGTGCAGTGGAGACAGTGGCATGTAACCTGTGAGCCTGGCACAAGTCATCCTGTAGTAGGTGGATGGGAATGGCTTAGGATAGACTGCTACAATGTACATCTGGCTCTGTGCTGCTTCTCCTCTAAGCAGGAGCACATGATCTCATCTTGGCTGGTCACTGCTCCCTGCTGTGATGATAGCATACATACTGGTCGGATTAAGGTTTGGCCATGCCAGTTTCCCTCTATGGAATGCTCTGTAGGCTGTTACAGCCCTGCAGGCAGTCCTTGTAGGTTGTTGTGCCCTGGTATGTTGTTACAGAGGCATACTTTAGAGAGTATCTCTCTCCTTGTGTGGTACTGCAGTGGTTGAACTCAGCTGAGGTGCCCAACCTAACAGATTCCAGATATAAATCTGGAGGCAAGAAGCTTTCAGTGTAGAGTCCTAGGCTCAGGAACTCACTCTCCACATTGGTTCGACAGTGCCTGGGATGGCTGAGGTTTAATGCTAATTGCAAGGCCTGTCGTATTTAGTCAGGATCTCTCTGCGGTGGTAAATTAAGGGGAGCTATTGTATTGGTTGGTGAGACGTGAATGATCATTAAAATGGCTATTGAGCCAATTTGAAATTTTGTATGTCTTGTGCTTCAGGCACATTAAAAAGAAATCTCAACACATAAATACTTACCCAGATGCCCTTATTTACTATCTGTGGCTTCTCTATTTTTTTTCCCCTCAATGCCCATCACCTTCGCAAGTCAGATTACACCACCCATTTTGCCATCCAGCACCAATTGCACGTATGTACAGGAAAAGACAGGACTAAGCCTTAAATACTGTATGTAACCCTTCAGCTTTTTCCCTAACTTAAATTTTAATTCTCAGAAGGGTTGTTTAGAGTAAGTAGCTATACAGCTGCTAGATCTTATCAGTATTGGTAAGTATTATAAGTGTTTTCTCAGGTGCCTTATAGGTGTCAAAACCTTTCTGCTTCAGATCATCATTTCTTCAGCTAATGCATGAGAAACATTTTTGTCTGATACAACGGGGCATATTAATTTATATTACAGCCTTAAGCAGCCTTGGTGACAAGGATCGGGCCTAGTCATATTTGGTTTAATTTTTTACATGGTACTGAACGCCCACAACTTCTCTTAACTTAATTGCAAATTGAAGGAGCTGTGTGCTTTGCAAGACAAGTTCATTATCTGCTTAGTGGTTCTAGTTTTGACAGTGATAATGTAGTAACATTCTCCCGTAATGTCATAAAATTATATATATTGAGTTTTTATAAGTCTGTGTTAATAAACATAAATATATTTAGACTGAGATGTGTACATCTCTCCTTAAGTTTCCTTTCTTTTTCATTTTCCAAAAAGGGGTGACATGGTTGGAAGGATAGGCCAGAACACTGATTTTGACAGCTATGTTTTGAATACATAATGTCAGTAAAGGGTGGCGGTGCACAAGACTAAGCCGTGGTCTACACTTTTGGGGTGGGGGGGGGGAATCAATCTAAGTTACGCAACTTCAGCTACGTGAATAATGTAGCTGCAGTCAACATACTTAGATCGACTTACCGTGGTGTCTTCACTGCGGTGAGTCGACTGCTGCCACTCCCCCATCGACTCTGCCTGTACCTCTCCCAGCGCTGGAGTACAGGAGTTGACGGGAAAGCATTCAGGGATCGATTTATCACGTCTAGACTAGATGCGATAAATCGATCCCCACTGGACCGATCGCTGCCCCCCCCGATCTGGTGGGTAGTGAAGACATACCCTTAGAATAAACCTAAACTTACCATGGCAAAAGCTGACCTTTTTATCTTCTCTCCTTTCCCCAACCCTGTTGACTACATAGAATCATAGACTTTAAGGTCAGAAGAGATCATTATAATTGTCTAGTCTGACCTCCTGCACAACACAGGCCACAGAATCTCACCCACCCACTCCTGTAACAAACCTCTAACCTATGTCTGAGCTACTGAAGTCCTCAAATCATGGTTTAAAGACTTCAGGGTGCAGAGAATCCTCCAGCAAGTGACCCGTGCCCCACACTGCAGAGGAAGGCGAAATCCCCCCAGGGTCTCTGCCAATCTGCCCTGGAGGAAAATTCCTTCCCGACCCCAAATATGGCGATCAGCTAAACCCTGAACATGTGGGCAAGACTCACCAGCCAGACACCCAGCAAAGAAGTCTGTGTAGTAACTCAGATCCCACCCCATCTAACATCCCATCACAGGCTATTGGGCATATCTACCACTAATAGTTGAAGATCAATTAATTGCCAAAATTAGGCTATCCCATCATCTCGTATCCCTTCCATAAACTTGTTAAGCTTAGTCTTGAAACCAGATATGTCTTTTGCCCCCACTGCTCCCCTTGGAAGACTGTTCCAGAACTTCACTCCTCTGATGGTTAGAAACCTTTGTCTAATTTCAAGTCTAAACTTCCTGACAGCCAGTTTATATCCATTTGTTCTTGTGTCTACATTGGTACTGAGCTTAAATAATTCCTCTCCCTCCGTGGTGTTTATCCCTCTGATATATTTATAGAGAGCAACCATATGTCCCCTCAGCCTTCTTTTGGTTAGGCTAAACAAGCCAAGCTCTTTGAATCTCCTTTCATAAGACAGGTTTTCCATTCCTCTGATCATCCTATTAGCCCTTCTCTTTACCTATTCCAGTTTGAATTCATCTTTCTTAAACATGGGAGACCAGAACTGCACACAGTATTCCAGATGAGGTCTCACCAGTGCCTTGTATAACTGTACTAACACCTCCTTATCTCTACTGGAAATACCTTGCCTGATGCATTCCAATACCACATTTGAAATAAAAAACCCTAGTCAAAGATCTATTTTTGTTTATCCTTCCATTTAGTTTGAACTACATGACCATCCTAGACCATAAACGGGGTGTCATTCTTGATTTCCTTTTCTTTCTCTACACACTGTACATCCATGCTGTGTTCAGAACTTGCCTTCGCTGAGACAACGCTTCTGAGATTCCTTTCCTTTCTAGCCACTTTATCCCTTTCTTTATTACTGTGGCACCTTATGTTTGGCCTTCCTGAAATTTATGTTGCTCCTCTCTAGGTCCATTCAAAACACTGCTGCTAAAATCATCTTCCTGATCCATTCTTCTTACCATGCTCCCAAGGTATAGACATTGAAATAGAAAAGCTAAGGAGAGGAAGTTGAGGGACAGATTTTTGTCTTCTGTTCTACACTGTGAATGTACAAAATATGGAATAAACTGCATATTTTGGGGGTTCTGGCAGCAGAATCTGTACTTAACAGTTGAATTGGCTGGCTTTTTTTCCAGCCAGCAGAAAATATAGATCTCGTGATCAACATGTCTTCCACAGTTATGATTGTTAACCAGGAAAAGAGGCGGCATGAAGCCAAAAAAAAATGTTAATAAAACATGTACATTCTTACTAGATTACTGGTATGGAACAAATATTATTGAACTAAGATTGTGAACCTGAGCTGAAATAACTTGCACTCACAAGGCCTCTTTAGATGCTGAAAACTGTTTCAGTACACCATGAGGGAGAGAACACTGAAGAATAGAAAATGCTTGTACAGGATGTTTAAAATACATATTGATTAAGTATGTCTTCTTATTGGCCTCAGTACTTTCCAGGAGTTCAACGAGAATTGGGAGGGCTGGTGCGAGTGTTTAATGTATATATGTTTCTGGACCAAAAATACCCCTACATTAAATTGGAGTGAAGGTTAAGAATACTTATAAATAGAGATGATAAATGCTATGGGAATGTTGTAATTATCTGAAAAAAACAGACCTTAGTAACCTGTGGGAAGTTAATGCTGACAAGAAGAAAACTGAAGCTTTTGAAGTATGGTGCCGACAAAGACTCTTCCATATTTCCTGGGCGGAAAAGAAGACTCATGCTGATGTTAGAAATATTATTGGAGAGAAGCAGACCCTGATGTTGGAAATTAACCTATGCAAACTTGTGTACTTTGGAAATCACCTTGAGAAAGTTATTATGGAAGGAATGGTGAAGGGTCATTGTTGTAGGGGACAACTAGTAAGGAGATGGATGGAGGGTATGTGGCAGATCACTGGAAGGTCAGCTGCTGAGTGCTTGAAGTTAGTGATGGACTGTGAGGGCTTCTGAAAATTCTGCTATGATGTCACTGATGTTCAGACATGAATAAGTGGATTTACTTTTTTAGTAATCCATGAGATTGAGTTAATCTAAACATGTTAAGGATCAGTGTTTAAAACTGTGTGACAGGATGGTCAGTCTCTATTTTTAAGAGGCTGCTTGAATTATTTTTTG